GTGTTACAGTCTAGACATTATACTGAGAATAATAATGTAAATGATTTCCAAGCATGATGAAAAATGATTTTCAAATAACTTATATGAAATTAAATGTAGCTGAACATACTTATGGTCTGGGAATTTTGAAGATATCCCTTCGATTAAAAGTTTCTCGACCTTCTGATCCCATTCGGTGACGAGATCGACGTCGCAGGATTTCGTCATTGTGTCCTTAGGTGTATTAATCTTTTCCCTTACGATCTACAAATTGCATGACTAAAATTTAATTACGTACTTCGTATCATTTAAATCGCATTCTTTTTTAGTATCCGAGTTAGCAATAAAACATTAATTAAAAATTACATAACAAGATGAAATTAAAAGTTATTTGAAAATAATTGTATTACGTTTAACAGACGTTAAGCGCCATGTCAGTCATTAGTGACTGACAGTACATTCTTTATTCAGGTCGCTTCAGTCATGAATGACGATATAAAATTTAAAATATTAGATTCTTCCATTAATTTTTCATAATCTGGATATGATAAGAATATGTACTTAAATATTACTTGTTATTAAAAGAAATTTTATTGAAACACTTAATGGCTAATAAAATAATTAAAATTTAAACAGAAAGGAAGACAAACAGGCTTGGCGTTTAACATGTTAAGGAATGTTCGAAGTTGTTTAAGTTAGGTTTAAACACCTATTCAAGTCTTCAAATCTTAGATATTATCAAGGCAAACAATGATACAGTACTTGAATTCAAGAGATAATAAACATGCTTACGTAAAGTAACGCAAATATTATTTAAGTCGTAATGATAAAGCCTTATGAAATTATAAAAGTGAAGAATCATGGTAACCGAAGGCATGGCAAAACAGAGGTGTTATTTCATGAACGCGTTGAATACGTTTCTTAGAAGCCGAACAACCACGCGCTCGCATTTATACATTAGCAGTATTATTATCTAATATCCATCTCGAGAAATCGATGCTACTATGTATGCTACTAGCAATAGCTGAGATGCGCGAGTAGAATATTAATTCTTGCTATTAATCACCGATGCATTGATCGATTTCCGAAGAAAATATTTTACAAGATTTCGAAACAGGCCTCATGATGTATCGTATGATGTAATACGCAAACAAGTTGATATAACAGCGCTAGATAAAACAAGAGTACATAAGACAAGTGAAATGTAATAATGCTAAATAAACATTGGGCACTGAAATCCGAGGCGGCGTGCAAGATCGATAAAACGCGTTCCGCTGTCACAACTCACAAGAGTGAAGGCCGCCGATACGACGAACAAGTTGTATTGCACGCGCCGGTTCCTTTCTGCTGATTTCATAAAAAAGAAATTTGCTTACCGAACCAGCTTCCTTCACTAGACGAAGCACCGTCATGTAATATTCGTCAAGACTAGACATGATTTATTAAGATCTTCGAAACACTTGAGAAAACTAGAATTTAGACAACTGTCATAACCAAAATACTGACAATAATTTCACAACAACATGCGATCGCAACGGCTGCTGCCGACCGACTGACGCAGACGCAGTCGTGTCACTTTTTCCCGCATGGCTCGCTTCCCCTGTTTTTCGCCCGTATTTCGATCCCCATTACTATTCCCCTCATGCGCCTTCGCTGACCATGCCTAGCATACCAGCATCAAGTACCAGTCCCCATCATGGTCGCGTCGTCCCTACTTTCCGGCCGAGGGACAAATTATACGATCCCTGGGTCAGTCGTGAACCGTCGAATAGCGTGAGCGTGAGCCATCCACCACGTCCCACCCTTAGCAGGCAGTTCGGGTTTGGGTATGCTTAGGACTTACAATAAGGATAAGTCTGGTAACCACTTCTATCTTATCGCCGTTATGTATTAATTGAACACAAAGTATCTGCACTGATACGCATACACGATACAAATGATATATTGGCTACATTGCACACATCATTAATTAAATAATAAATCTTGCATTCTTATTACAGTTGTTCTTTGTGGCCGTACATCAAATTGAATTAAAATTACGAATTACAACTTGATATACAGAGTGGTCCACCTAAATATCTCTCACTTGCGATGATAGGGAAAATATATTTTATACTACTAGAAGATGAATATATTAAATAGATTAATAGAAATGCATCTTAAAATTTTTATTTGGCCTCGCGACGAAATTAACACGATCTAAATGGACTAATTAGCTCGCATGGAAAGTGATTCGAATCGAGAACGAACGTTTGTAAAAGATTATAAAAAAATAACAGTTTTGCGTGATCTGAAGACTGAAAACGTTTAACAGAGAACAGAGTAAACTGTTGAAACTACCCTCGCAACATAATGTGACGTGATTGCGTATTATAATTACGATTAATTAGTATTACATTTTCTCTTGTAAATCTTTCAAAAGCTTTGAAGATACTTTCATGTTTGATATACATAGATAATTCGTTCGAGCGCGCACACCGTACGCTAATATAAAAGTTTTCAACAATGGCGAGTAACTGTAGATAATGTTCTTTACATCTGTTTTTGTATTCCGGAAAATATTTCTGTCATAAACGGTGTGCAACGATTTAATATATTTATATGAGACGATCGATCTCTGATAAATAGATTTAGCGTGATCCTTAGCTCCTCGGATGATCAAATTTTGAAGCACATTTTCGTTTTATATAATTAATGATTATCATTTTTTTAAATATACGTGTTAATCACCCGCTTCTCAAAGTGATATAAAAAATAGTCGAACGGCTGAGAACATTTCTTCACCATTAAGTAGCGAGTATTGATGAAGATGTATGAAACAGAATGACGTTCAAGCGAAAACTGCTGCACTGTCGATATGTATCCGTTGAAAGCACAGTAACCATTACCGTACGATAATAGACTATAAAACAATTGATAAATAGTAGTATAAATAAAAACTATTAACAAAACAGCGAAACCTTAACGTATAAAACGGAAGTCTAGTTTCCAAACATTATTTGAGAGATGGACGTCCTTTCCCGTTCGGAAAAATGATTCTCTTCAATTTACCGGACTGCGCGTTACATACACTTTCCTATTAGCAATAACTTCCTGTGTTACTCTCTTCAGCGACTACGACTCGCAACTCTCGCTTATCACCGGAAGCATGTCTTTATCATTCGATTCTAAGTTACTACAGCATCCGTTTAAGGTCGCTACGACGTTTTCCTCTTAAACCTGCGGCCTCAGTTGGAAAAGGAGATCGACGATGGTTTCATCAGCCAGGGTCGACACGTCGCCGACGTTTCTGTCACCTGCAGCGATCTTCCTAAGCACGCGCCTCATGATTTTTCCCGATCGCGTCTTCGGCAGGCCTGGTGCATGTTGAATCACATCCGGTTGTGCGAATGGACCGATTTTCTCACGGACTGTTAACAATTACGAATTAAGAGTAAGAAAAATAGAGAAGCAGAAGGTGCAGAATAAACAGAACATAATTCAGTTCTAAATCCAACAGGAAATGAGATGTAAGGAAAGAAGTAGTATTCAGCATTTTTAAATAACTTCAGACGTTTAAACTGACTGAATCTGTACTTGCTAAACTCTTGGCAATTATTTTAAATGTTTTGTTACACATTAGACAATAAAGTAAACCTTGTAACATCCCAAAAAAAATTTAATTCTTTGGCTTAATATTTAAAAAGTTATTCAGGTTTAAAATAACTATGAATATTGATAAGAATCACTGTAGGTTCAGTTATAAAGAAAATTGTAAAATCGGAAGTGAACCATGAATAAATTAATAAATAATAAATAAACACATATTAATGTGATTTGATTGCGATTTATGTATTCATAGAGACATGAAAAATATTTACCTCTTGTCTTAAGCTCACTCTGCAGCTTTTTATCGAATTCCGCACCTTCGTTCGGCGTGACAAAGCAGTAAAGGCATTGTCCTTTGATTGGATGCGGTTTGCTGACTACAGCGGCTTCAGCAACTGAGGTATGTTCAGTTAATACGCTTTCCACTTCCGCCGTGGACATCAGATGGCCGGATACATTTAACATATCGTCCACGCGGCCCGTTATCCAGAAATAACCATCCGCATCGCGTCTGGCGCCTGCGATCAAATACAATATGTATACATACAACGTTTCGTACAAAATATTTTAGATACAATAGAACGTCTATTATACATAGAAATTCAATAAATAGAAAAAGAAACTGTATTGTATTTAAGGATGTATTGGCTATACAGTCAAT